ATTTGTGCCAGGTGTGTGCCTAGGACTTCTGGCCCGATGTCTACGCTGACAGCACAGCTGTGCCCCCCCACGCCTGGCATAACCCCCTCCCCCATGAGAAACTCAGGCTGCGTCCTCTCCTGCCCCAGGGGCCCCAGAGAGACATGTGGGGGTTCCTCTGCTAGGGCCAAGGGGACCCAGCAACATCTTTCTGGGGACAGGGAGTCCTTCCCCAGCTGGCCAGGACCCCACACCCCCAGACCACATTGTGTCCTTAGCAGGGCACACCCAGCTGTTCTGAACCGCTGTCCTGTGTGCCACTTGCTGTCCTTTGGTCCCCGAGCTCAGCCCCGAGCCCTGCCTGGAGCCAGTGTTGGATGGGTACAGGCTGCTGGACGTCACTGAGTTCTCCAGCCTACATGGCTGCGCGATCAGCAGGCCCCGGTGCACTGGGGGATGGAGAGGTTGCCTCAGCCTGGGACACCAGGAGAGAAGGACCCGGGGACTGAACCGGGAGCCCCAGGAGCCCCCTGTTTCTCTGAGTCCTGAGCTGCAACCTGCAAGAGTCAGAAAAAAGCAGCTGGCCTCAAAAACACCCAGCGCCGCTGCTCATCCCGGGCACTCGGCTCTCTGCCCCTCTTAGCACACCCTTGGGTCTGCCCTGCCCAGCCCTGAGAGGGGACACGGGTGCCACCCTCAATCCCCAGGGCAGCCTCTGGGGACCAGGTAGCCAGTGTGGCGCTGGGCTGCCCCACCCCGCCCGGAGGTGGAAGCTGGGTCACTGTAGGACTCTGTTTGGGCTCCAAGGGGACACACCGTGCCCCAGCTGGGAGGTGTTGACAGAGTGGCCAGGAAATCTAGGTCAGCAGTGGGCGAGGCCCTGCAGGTGGCAGCCGGTGCCAGCAGAGGTGGCAAGTGCGGCTGGGGACAGAGAAGCCACCGCGATGACGCATCCCACTTCCGGGCCCACCCAGAAACCTCGCCCTGCAGGCAGCTGGGGGCGGAGCTCAGGAGTCCTGGCTCAGCCCAGCGTCCTCACTGTGTGACTGTGGGTTGTCACCTCCTCCTCAGCTCCTCCGCCTCTCTGAAGCTGAGTTGGGGCGGGGTGGGGAGATCCAAGCATCAGCTTCTTGCTCAAAGCTGCCTCCTCCCCATAGCCTCCGCTAGCTGCCCAGAGCCCTCCTAGGGCTTCACATCCACAGTGGGAACTCTGGAAAAGCCAGCGTGCACTTTCAGCTAGGCTCAGCAGAGGAAGGGTGGGGCTGCTTTTGCTGAACGCAGGAATAAATGAATAAGTGAAAGAGGACACCTACCCACACCCTTTCTCCTCAGCCTTAGCAAGATTAGACCCAGGATCCTTTGGAGCCACTGCTGATGGCAAAACTGACATCCAGGCGTGGTGATGCATGCCTGTCATCCCAGCACTTGGGAGGCTGAGGCAGGAGGATCGCTGTGAGTTTGAAAGCAGCCTGGGCTTCACAGTGAGTTGAAGGCCAGCCTGAACTGGCAAGTGAGACCTTGTCTCCAAAAGAAAAAAAAAAGACAGAAGGGGGCACCCTGCCCTCAGATGATGCTACCTGTACCCCACCTCTGCTTACATAAGCAGCTCCCTGATTCTGCTAGAAGTGGGTGTGCAAATCCCTTTACTGCAATTCCCCAGGCAGGAGAGCTGGGGTGTCTTGCCTGCAGCCTGACTTGTCGGTCACTGCTGTCACCCACCTGGAAAAGGCGCAGGCACCCTGGGCCAGAAGCCAGCGGCCACCCAGAGCCACAGAGCTTCTGGATGTCTGCGGCCAGGCCTGATGCAGAGGCCAGGGAACCTGATTTTGCCCAGGCCACACGGCCAGCTCCTCCCTGGGAACAGAAAGGGGAGAGCAGGAGCCCTTGCCAAATTGGGCGTTGTCATCTCATTTTACAGAGGGGCGACTGAGGGTCAGCAGGCAGAGCTTCCGGACCACAGTCACACCGTAAGGACAGAACCAGGTCCCAACCAGAGCGCAGAGAGCAACGGAGGGGGCTGGAGCCCGGGCGGGAACAGCGGGGGACGTGTAGAGATTGTCCCCAAGCCCCTGCCCCTGCCCTTCACGCTCTGCACTTGGCCCTTCCCTACCTGGACGCCAGGGACTCACCTGCGCCACCTTCCCGCGGCTGCGGCTGTGCTCGCCTGCCCTCTGCCGGCAAGATCTGGAATCGCAGTGCTGCTGAGTGCGGAACCTTTCAGGATGCGGCAGTCGGAGCCCACCTGCTCTAACTGCTGCTTGAAAGCTACACATCAAGCTCACAAAGTATTAACTAAGATGTGTCCCGGCCTCTGACCTCGATAGTATACACTTCTAAGAACCTGGAAGGCCAGGTGCAAATTTACAGTTGAGCTCCTGCACCACAATAGGGAAGGTGGGGAAAACCCCTCTGCACCCACCCCACGCTGCACCACGCCATGAGGACGCAGGCAGGCGTGGACATATGTGCGTGCACACACTGCACTGCATGCACACATGCGTGCATACATACCACATGCACACGTGCATACAGGTATGTCCGCCTTGTGCCTCCCAGTGGCCTCAGGAGCACCGACCATGGGAAGAGCAGCAGGGGACCCGGGAGTGGGGTCATGGCTCTGAGGGTCCAGCTGGAGACCCCTATGACAAACGTGACACACTCTCAGTTTAAGACACACTCTGGACAGGGTGTGGTGGTGCACGCCTGTAATTCCAGTACTGGGGAGGCTGAGGCAGGAGGATTGCTGAGAGTTTGAGGCCAACCTGGGCTACATATTGAATTCAAGATAGCCTGAACTACATAGTGAGTCCCTGTCTCAAAAAAAAAAAAAAAAAAAAAAAAGACTCACTCTGAATTCAGGGACACTGAGATGTGCAGCTTCTATTGCTGTCTGAGTCTGGAGCATGAAGCTCTGAAGGTGCTACTGCACCGAATCTGTACATCTACTGGGGCGGCATCAGTGACATTAGCAATGTGCAGTCTCCACAGTGTTACATCTTCCAGCCTGAGAACATATGACGCTAGGTTTTCCTTTCCTTGGGTCTTTAATTCCTTTCCATGATGGCTTGTAATTTCCCACATAACGTCTCACCCTTCTTTCCCAAGCGCTTTTATATCTGTCCTCTCCTTTGAGTATCAAAGGCCCCTGTGAGGGTGGCCTGCTGCCACTATGCACCACACTTCACAGACCCAAAACTCTGGGGTTCAGTGGGGTTTGAAACCTCAGCTAGTAAGTGGCAGCACTGGAAACCGAGCCCTCATCCCCTCCAAATTCCACCTCAGCCTGGCACTCCTCCCTGTTCTGGGCTCTATCCCCCTCTGCCTCAGGAAGGAAGCTCAGGAACTCAGCAGGTACTGGTGACAGTGATGGTGATGGTGTGGCAGGCACCCCAGGACCAACACCCACAGAAAAGTAAATGCAACCCCTCCCCTCAGAACTCCCCAGAAGAGTGGTATTAACCCCACAAACGCACCCTGGGCCTGGGGTGCCTGCCCAGCTGGGAAAGAGAAGCCTGAGTCACAGGGCAGAGGCAGAGGTGAAGGGAAGAGCAAGTCCAGGCTGTGCGGGACAGAGAAGGAGGCGACTGACCACCAAGTGTTGTCATGAGGTGAGATCAAGAACACAGTGAACGCTGCTGCTGAGCGCCTTGCAGCAGAAAGGCAGCTTGTAAAGCATGCTGCCGTGTCCTCATCCACCTTAGTCACTGCAGCACCATGTGACTTCTGGCTCTTCCCCAAAGTCAAAGTGACCATGAGAGGGAAATTTCTGAACCCATTTAGGATATGGAGGCAGCCAGGACAGAGCAGCTAAAGACCCTCAGGAAAGAGGACTCCAGAGCTGCTGCAGGGAGCGGCAAGGACGATGGGATGAGTGTGCTCAAAGCAAGAGGAGGACTGTGAGGGGATTCACGGCAATGCATCTTTTACTGCAATACATTTTAATTTAAACATTGACTAAACTGTGATCACACCTCATAGAACACAAGCACGGGTGGACGGTGTTAGGGACTTTTGGTGGTGGGCGCAGGCCACCTGTTCAGGGGGCGGCTGCGGTGCTCTGATGCGCCCACCCTTCCCGTCAGGCTCCATCTCCCCAGCCTCATCCTGGAACACCTGTCCATGCTGGTTGTGTCTGACACCCACGTCCCGGCTACGATGAGGCTGCTTACCCTGCTTTGCAGGCGGGGAGCGTGAAGTTAGATGGCGACCGTGTGAAAGGGATCCATACTCAGCCCCGCGCCGTTTCCTTGGCTGGGAAGGAGCAGCAGAAACTCCCTGGGGTGAAAGACACTTGGCCAGGCCTCTTGGGTGGAGCCCTGGCTCCCCTGCTCCCTTAGCACTGAGGGAAGGAATTAAATAAGTAAATGAAATGGCGCGCCATGCCCTTGGACTGCTGGGGAGGTCCCGGCTCTGTGGTGCCCCGGGCCAGCTGCTTTGGGCTGGTTAACTGTCTTCTCTGGGCACACGACTCCCTTCCTAGGGGGATGACAACAGCACCACCCCCCGGGCTGACAGGACCAGTGGGGCGCCAGGGTCCCAGTTGCCCTGGGTGCCCGTTCAGGTTATGTTACCTGAGAGTTTGTTTCAGGCCCCGGTGGCTGCGCTGGGCTGGGGTTGTTGAGAAAGAATCAGCTCCTGCTCAGAGCGCCCAGAAAGCCTGTCCCGCGCCCTGTCCCCAAGCCAGCAGGGCCGGCAGGGTGGGGCAGGATTTCCCTCTCCCCACAGCCTCGGGCACGTCCTGAACCCGGGTAAGAGTAGCTGGTTGTGTCCCGGGATGCTGTGGAAATCCTGTCCTCCCTGGCAAGCCAAGGGCCTTGATGCTCCACTTTATTTTTCTTTAATTTTTTTTCCGCAGTACTGAGGATTAAACTTACGGCCTTCACACTGAGCTGTATCCCCAGTCCTTCTTCAAAATTCTTTTTCTTTTGAGGCAGGCTCTCTCACTAAGTGGCTAAATGGCCCAGGCTGGGCATAATTTGCGATCCTCCTGCCTCAGCCTCCCAAACGCTGGGGTTATAGGCATGCACTACCTTGCCCTCGGGTGGATGGATTTTTGTAGCTGCGGAAATAGTTGCTCAAATGAAACTTTAAAGTTGGTCAACACTCTGCTCTTTCTCCACACGGGAAGGGACAGAGACAGAGGGGGCTGAGCTGGTGGCCCTGTCCTCCCTGCAGCAGCAGCCTGGCTCCATCACATCTCGGGCTCCCCGTCACCGTCAGCCCCTGGTCCTCTCCCCTGCAGGCCTGGTCCCCCTCAACCTCAGGACCCTGTGGGCTGCGCTGTGGTGCCCCTGGGACCGCACGCCCACAGAAGGGCCACCACTCATGGTGGATGACGGCAGGGAGCTCTGGGCCTGGGCCAGCCCAGAGGAGCTAGGATAGGGGCTGTTGTTTAAAAGAAATGAGGTGTCATCCCAGCACTCTGGGAGGCAGAGATGGGAGGACTGCAAATCCAAGCACAGCCTGGGCAACTTGGTAACTTAGCAACCCTGTCTCAAAATAAGAAAAACTTAAAAAAAAAAAAAAAAAAAAGGGCTGGTAGCAAGCAGAAACACCAAACGACACCCAGGATTTGGAGGCAGATTTATTTACATCGTTGGGCACTGATCAGGATCATTCCCAGAATATCAGTCCCTGATCTCTGGCGGTTCCAGCGCTTGTATGGGATAAGCAAGCAGGAGGTAGAGAGGCAGGCTGGCTTGTCTATTGGGTACTGCACTCGATCTCAGCCAAAGGCTGAGAAGCAATGGCTTGTCAGTTGGGGATTGGTTTATACAAGGTGCATCATAGTGACCAGCTGTTTCACAGAGACAGAAGCAACAGGAACTGGAATAGGAACTATTACCCAAGCAACTAACAAACTGAAGTATACTGGCTCCGGGGGCATCTTCTGTTACAGTTCAGTGTGAAGATACTGGGTTCAACCCTAAGTACTGCGAAAACAAAACCTTATTCCAGGGCTGGGCCATCAGGTCCCAGAAGGAAGAGCAGGAGGAGGAGGAAGAGGGGGAGGAGGGAGAGGAGCCTCAGCACACATCTGTGATTGCAGGAAACTCTGGCCAGCTTCTTGGTGGCTTCCAAAGCACGAAGAACCAACTGTTTCTGCCTGTTTGCAGCCCAGTTTCTGACATTACCTTGGCAACGGCTGTCAATAGGAGCCTCGAGGGACCTGGTGACCGTGTGAAGGGTAGGCAGGGTGACCCTCCCCAGGCCAATGCAGGGGGCTGGCGCTTTCCACTGAGAACTGTTTATTTAGAATCCAAGGGAGGCCGGGCAAGGATGAGGGGATGAGAGGAGGATCAGAGGGGATTAGAAGCAATGTAGCTTTTATTGTAATGAAATTTTTAATGTTCACTGTATTTTTTTATCATACCTCATATACTTTCCCTGTGCATGACTGAAGACCAGCTGTCACTCCCCAGCCACAGGCACCCTGGAGTGACTGAGGCTTCTGTTCCCACCACAGGGCTGATCCAGGTGAAGTCTGCAACACAGGCTCCAGATCCAGAGGTATGAAGTCAGCACACCTGCATATTTATCCATTACGCAAAGACAGGCAGGGAGCTGGATATGGTGGTGCATGCCTGTCGTTTCAGTACTCAGGAGGCTGAGGCAGGAGGATCACTGGGAGTTGAGGCCAGCCTGGGCTACATAGTGAGTTCAAGGTCAGCTTGAACTACGTAGCGAGACTGTGTCTCTAAATAAATACATAAAATCTTTTAAAAGTCTCCTGTGTATAGACTGGAAGCTTTGGAAGGTGATGGATCATGGGGCACTGTATTCATCAGTGGATTCATCATGGATGAGTTCGTGGCTGAATGTGCTGTAGGAGGCGGGGTCTGGTTGGAGGAGGTCACTGGGGTGTGACCTGGAAGGATGCGTTCTTGTCCCTGGCTCCTTGGCTCCTCCCTTCTCTCTCTGCTTCCTGGCCACCATGGAGTGAGCAGCTTCCCTCCCCACACCCTTCTGCCATGAGGTTTCTCTCTTAGAGCAGCTTACCATGGACTGCACCTCTGAAACTGTGAACCATATTGGGAAAACCCTTTTCTACTTTAAGTTGTGCATGCCAGGCATTTTGGTTATAGCAGGGAAAGGCAGTTTCCCTGTCTGGGCTCAAAGAGATCATTATCCTTTTCCTTCCCTCCTTCCCTCTCTCCTTTCCATCCTTCATCTTAGTTTTTGGAGCCAGAGTCTTGCTATGAAGTCCAAGCTGGCCTTGAACTCACTATGTAGCCCAGGCTGGCTTTAAACTCTTGGTGATCCTCCTGCCTCAGCCTCCTGAGGGCTAGGATTACAGGTATCAGCCACAATACCTGGCTTCTTCTCATACCTGTTGGCACTGTGGCTCTCTCCCTCTCTGTCCCCAAGGGCTGGATGTTTCCATTGGCTGTCAGCCCCCTGTGTACCAGGTCTGGGGACTGAGACTGGGGAGCAGGAAGGTGCAGAATTCTCTCCCCACTTCTGGCCAGTAGTGTCACTACCGCGGGGCGCCCAGTAAGAAAGGCAGTAGGAAACGTGGGGGACCTCCTAGGCCATGTAGGGATGGCAGTGTGCTGGGGAGGACCACGTGACAGGGCACAGGCTGGCCCAAGGGCAAGGGAGTGGGTGACCAGCCCCTGGTCCTCCCATCACTGGCCACTTACAAGACATCTAGAAAGAAGAGGAGCAATGTTTTCTATTTTTGATGAGGCACTGGTGAAATGGAGGCTTTTCAATTATTAACATCCAGAAATAAATGATTTATTCAGGTCAGATGTAAAATCACCGTTCATTTTAGGAATGTCCGTTCCCCCATGCACTGTCACCAATTTGCCGATCTGCTGGAAGCCATTTGTCCCCTTTGGGCCTCAGTGCTGCCCTCTGTCAAATGGGACCAGGGCCCTTGGGACTCCTGCAGAGAGCTTCTTCCAGGAAGCTTTCTCAGCAACCCCGACATAGGTGTAGCTCTTTTTCCTCCACATGGCCACCCTTTAGACACTTGTCTCCCCACCAGACCAGGAGCTCTTCCAGTTTAGAACTAAATTAGATGAATTTCTGCATCTCTAGGTAGGGTCCTAGTAAGCGTTTGTTGAATGACTGTGTGAGTGAGTGAGTGTATGAAAGAGGTGGCTCTCTTTATCCTATGGGGAGCAGGTTGTTGGTGGCGTAAGGGCATGACCCCAGGAAACCTCCCATTTGAGTGGCCCTACATTCCCCCGTTTTTCTAAGACTGCTCCCCCTTGAGGACACAGCCAGGGATGGAAGATTGTGTTGCCATGGCAATAGATTCTTTCTGCCAGAGCTAACGTCTCCACCCAGGCCTCAGGAGGTGCCAGTCCGTGTGGCGGGTACCGTGTCTCCTCCCACACCAGCCGCCCTACTTACAGCGCCCCTGGTGAGCCTGTCGCCTCCTCCACGGCTCTCTTCCCAACCTGCTCCATCAGCACCAGAAGTCGAGCCAGAGCAGACAGCCACCTGGAGCCTGGGGTCAGAGGTCTCAGGACAAAGCTCAGAGAGGCCGCGGGGCTTTCTCCAGCACACAGCCAGTGAGAGGCAGAGGCGGGATTTGAGCTCTGGTCTCAGGGACTGGTCTGGCCTCAGCTCCACGGCCCGGAAGCAGACCCACAGTGTGTGCGCAGGTACTGAAGGCCAGAGTGCTGGTTGGTGGACAGCAGCGCTTACTCCACCCCCAAGACCTGCAGAGGGCTTGTATAGGGGGCACGTGCCTGTCATCCCAGCACTCTGGAGGCTGAGGCAGGAGGATCACCTGGAGTTCAAGGCCAACCTGATCTAACAAAACAAACAAACAGGCCCTCAGATGGGAATGGTACTTAAACAGGTTTCATAGCTTCAGCCAAGCTCATACCGGTGGCCCCACGGGGTTGGTGTCAGGGCCCTAGGCAGGGACACCACTATCTGTCTGTCCCTGGGTCACAGTGATCACCACCTTACAGGAGGCTGTGGAGGGCAGAAGAGGCCAGGAGGAAGGATGCAGGCAGGAGGCAGCCCAGGGCGGGCAGGGAGCAGGTTGGCCGTGGTGCAGGACAGTCGGGCCCTGGACAGACCACTGCTGCCTGCTCTTTCCTGTAAGTGAAGAGACACGAGCCGTGTATGACCTATAGAGCAGGCTCAGCTCGGTGACCGAAAGCAGGGACTTAGGGCCCGCCCCCCCTCCTTACCACCTCCAACAGGACAGCATGCACCGGGAGCCTGGGGACACATGGACAGCAGGGTCACAACGTGCTGATCTGACGTCACAGGGGATTGAATCCCAGCTCCCAGCTCCACTCTGACCCTATGACTTTGAACCCGCAGAATTTGTCTTTGTTTGTTGAGACAGGGTCTTACTATGCAGTCCAGGATGGGCTTGAACTTACTATGTAGCCCAGACTGGTCTCAAACTCATAGCAATCCTCCTGCCTCAGCCTCCTGAGTGCTGGATGACAGGTGTAAGCCACCCAGCCAACTTGCACACTGATATTTTTAAGTGTTCAGACAATTTTCACAGCAGCTCCAGAGTGGATTTGTTTTGAATCATTGAATTTCCTCAGCAGCTTTGAGGTGAGTAGGTCAGGGTTCTTCCATCTATTTCTCAGACATGAAGACTAAGGTTCAGGAATGCTGAACAAGCTTCTCACAGTGCCAGCGTGAGTGAGCAGGGATTGGCACCCTGATCCTGGGTGACTTCCACCCTACCTGAGGGACCATGAAAGCAAGAAGGAAGGAGAGGGGGAGGCGGGAGAAAGAGGCCCTTTCGTCCGTCTTTGGCCAACCCAGCATCGCTAACAGGCTCCCGCCACCAGAGCCCTGGCCCTGTCACCACAGAGCACTCGGCCCCTTCCACTCCCGCCCTGAGCTCTGTGGGTCTGTGCTGCTCCGCCCACTCTGCTTCCCGGGGCAGCAGCACAGCCTCTCATCTCCATGGCAACGCCTGCTGCCTGCTGGGTGGGACCACAGTGTTCATCAAGCTGGGGCCTGGTCTCTCTCTCCAGCCGCCCATTTGGGGGAGGGGGACACCCACACACCTGCTCTGGCCGAGGTCCGTGCCCTGGGGGACAGTGCATGGATGTGCACACGTGGACGTGTGCGCCTCAGCACAAGCACTCAAAGCACCGACATCACATCGGAGTCCCCAGGGGTCTGGGAGGGTCTGTGGGGCTGGGGACCCCCCACAGTGACAGGGTGGGGGTCGCGTTGCAGTTGTATCTGTTGTATCTGTGCTTGCGTCTCTCTGGGTGCATGTGTCCATCTGTCAGTCTGTCCTTTGCATCTCAAGCCCAGAGGCAGCTGTGACCTCCAGTGTGGTTGGAGGTGCAAGGACTCCAGCTCTTTCATCCACTTCAACAACACCAAAGCGGCCGGGCGCCAGCAAGCCGTCCTGGGAAAGTCAGGGCCTGCAGTGGCCGGAAGGGGTGACTGTGTCGTCTTCGCTGTTCTGTGGCCCACCGTGAGCAGTGAACCCCAGGCCACGACAAGCTCCACTGTGACTTGTGCCACCCTCATTGCATTTTCCTGCCCAGCAGAAAGGGGCCGGGGCCGGGACACGGAGAGGAGGAGTTCGTGATGGCCTAGGAACGGTGGCTGTGCGACTCTGGCGGGACAGTGTCCCCGCTCATGCTTCCCTACGAAGTGTCCAGCTCTGTTGTCCCCATCCAAGGACAACCGGCTCAATGCTAACTCTCCCGAGACAGCCCACCCACCAGATGCCTATGCCTGTCCCCAGCCTTAAGAAGAGAAAGAGAGCTCTCTCGGTGCCACCAGAACTGCCGTGGGGACAGGGCTCAGCCATCTGGCCCGCAGCCTCTGCCACTCCCGCTTGCTCCGGGCACGGGCTGCGTGCTGAGGCCAGCAGGGGGTGCCTGTGACGAAGGCCTGCTCCACAGGGAGGGCCGGAAGGAGGAAGGCGTCAGAGGGAAGAGGAAGACGAAGACAAAGCCAAGGCCACCCCGGCTGCCAAACAGGGGTGCTGAGTCCAGGTCTTCACTGGGGGTCAGGCAAGGCCCAGGCTTGGGGACCATGGAGGAGCCGGGCCAGGGTCCTGGAGGTAGGAAAGGGTAGGGAAGGGCCTCAGAGCCCAGCTGTCCTGTGTGACAGGTGGAAGACAAAGGGCGAATTAGAGCTGGGTGTGGTGGTGCACACCTGTCTTCTCAGCACGTGGGAAGCTGAGGCAGGAGGATCACAGGGAGTTCAAGACCAGTCTAAACTCCATGGTGAGACCCTGTCTCAGAAATGAAACAAAACCAAAGGAACTAGTCCTGCCCAACTCCTAGCAAAACCAGCAGTGTCAGGAGGACCTCAAAGCGCTGAGCAGGAGGGAGGATCCTGCCCTAGTGGGTGGGGGAGCCACAAGGCAGGAAGGGTGGAGGAGGAAGGTGCGGCTTGTGGGGTGTTGGCCAAAGGTCACAGTAAGCGAAGGGCTGGAGCTGCAGGTGGCTGGGACTCCCACACAGAGCCCAGGTTTCTCAGACCACCCTGAGCAGTCAGGTCACCGGGGCTTTCATCTTTTCATTCGTATTTTTATTCTGGGACAG